AGGCTAAAACCCAGAACCTGAAGCCATGGTGGATACCAAATGAGATACTCCCTCCTGGGCACACAGAAGACTGGAAGACTTGGAAAGCGCTGAACAGACTGCACTCTGGCACCACGAGATGCAGAGCCAACCTTAAGAAATGGGGCCACAAAATGGAGTCCCTGACATGGGAAAAGAGCAAACCACAGACCACATATTACAATGCATTCACATGCACATGAACAATGGAGGACCTTCTTACAGCAACACCAGAGGCACTCCAAGTGGCCAGCTTCTGGTCAAAGAACATTTAGTATAATGCCAAGTTTTTTAAAACTTGGTGTTTTTAAAAACATTACAACTGTACCCTTGGTTCACTTCTGCTATGATAAATAAATACTGGCTAACTTGCTGTTTCTCAAGGATCTTTTACTGGGGTGATAAAAATAGCATCTGTAATAACAGAATATAGTGACCTCTTCAAACACCACTCAACCCTTGAAAAATATCTGCTGAAAAAGGGATCAAAAATATTAATGATTAGCCATCCCCTGCCACGCATTGCTGTGGCCCTATCTGTGTATATAAGTTGCGTGTATATGTGTGTGTATGTGTGTTTGCATGCGTTTTGGGCATGCGTTTTATTTATTTTTTAATTTTTGGCTTTTTAAGTCTCTTCTGCTGTGTTTTTCAGTGTTTTTATGAGTGATAGTCACTTGTTGGCCTGATAGATGTATCGTGTCCAAATTTGGTGCCAATTCGTCCAGTGGTTTTTGAGTTATGTTAATTCCACAAACTAACATTGCATTTTTATTTATATAGATTTTTAACGCTGGCCAAACACATTTCACAATGACCTGAAGGCACACACCCTGATCAGGTGCACAACTGGGTGAAATGGTGCCAACAAACCAGTAAAGTGGACCCTGCAATCAACAGGACAAATGCTGAAGAGCAAGGAGAATGATTTTCATCTATACCAGGGTGGCAAATCAGGAAAAATGTCTAACTGAAACTCCTCACAAACTTGGTCCTTTTTATAAAATCTCCATCTTGAGTTCTCAGATATGCAATCAGTTTTGCTTTACTCTCCAATGTGGCTCTTCTGATGACGGGTCAGATGTTCTTTCTGTCTAAAACACTTTCCACACCAAGGACATCCATATGGTTTTTCACCAGTATGAATCCTCTGGTGCCTCATAAAGTTCCCACTGCGGTTAAAACTCTTCCCACACTCAGGACATTTGTACAGTTTCTCTCCAGTATGGATTCTCTGATGGATGATTAATCCCGCTCTAAAAGTAAAGCTTTTCCCGCACAGAGTGCATATGCACAACTCTCTCCTTGAATCACTCTTCCGATACTTTTTCAAAGTTTGTTTGTGTCTAAAGCTTCTCCAATCTGCCAGACACTCATAAGGTTTCTTTCCTGGGTGGATATTCTGAACAGAAATATT